CACAGAAACTGAAGCAGATAAAGTTAAGTGACTTGCCCAGGGTCACACAGCTAGGAGGCTGGATTTGAACTCAGGAATCCTGACTCCAGGCCCAGCACTCTATCGACCACAGTGCCCCCTAGCTGTGCCAGAGAGGCAGTTAGGAGAGGTCAAAGCAGGGGTGAAACATCCTGGAATATATGCACGCCTGGGGTAGAGTGAAGGCCTGAGAGCTAAGGGATGGAGTGGCCTGTGAGCTTGTAGGGACATCTGTGTGCGTGTCCAAGGCCATGGGGGCGAAGGTGGAGGCTGGTGTGAGCTCCAGGTGCTGAGGTCTGAGAAAGACCGGGGGATGCCGTGGGGCTGCTGAGCGCCTGTGACCAACATGTGGAGAGGCCTATACAGACGCTTGGTGTGGACCTCCGAGGAGGAAAAGGGCAGCAGGGGGCAGAATGCAACATGCCTATTCCTCTCCCAGCCTGGTGTGTTGCATCCAGTGCTGGAGAAGGTGGCCAGGGGTGCAATGTCTCCCAGCAAGAGCCAGGGCTTCTGAGGGCCAGAAGACAGAAAGGATTAGGGACCAGAGAAGATGCAAGGTCCCAGAGGCCACAATCAGAGGGGAAGGTGGAACAGGCTGGGGGGTATAAGGGCAAGACACCAGGCCGCAAGGGAAGATGGTCTTTACAGAGACTCCAGTCACAGGGGTTAGGAGAGGAGAGAGAATTTTCTCTCGAGCACTAGGAAAAAATGCTTGCATCGATAGATGCTTGGTATCTGGACCCCTGGGGCCCTGGCTGAACTCGTCTTACACTCGTTCCAAGATGGTGGGAGATAACGAGCAATCAGAAGCCAGCTGCACATCAGGCCTACGTGTGGCCCCGGTCAGGCTGTGTCTGAGACTTCAGCCCCGTGAGGCTCTGGCCACGAGAGCCCCGGTGCTTGAGGTGCAATGGCAGAGAGCTCCTGGCGCCTGGCAGCCCAGAGGCCGGTGCGGTGGCCAGTGGCTTTAGCGCCAAGGCCTTGTTCTTCTCACACGGTGTGCCAGAGGAACGTGGGGGAGCATTTCTCCTGGGCTTTCACCCCAGCAGTGACCTGCACAAGCGCTCAGTGTAGAGGAGGAGGCCCCCCACAAGCCCCCACTGATGCCTTGGTCCCTCACAGGCTACTAGGTCTGGAGCTGGAGGGGACCTGAGAGGCCATCCAGTCCAACTTTCCCATTTTACAGATGAAGAAACTGAGGCACAAGGAGATTAAGTAACTTGCCCAGAGTCACCCAGCTCACAAGTTTCTAGGGCAGCACTTGAATATAGGTCCTCTTGTCTCCAAGCACCACCAGGCTGCTTCTCATGCAGGGCAGCCCTGCCCTGGGCTTGGCTTTGTGGTGCTATTCTGGGAACATTCTCATCCATCCCTCCTCTTAGGCTTCCAGAGCATGCCGAGTGTGAATGCCATGGAAAAAATCCTGGGCTGGCTTTCCTGGCCTCATCCCACCACCTGCAGGCTGGCATGGAAAGTGCAGCATCCTCGGGGCCTGCTCAGAGAAGGCTTTGGCCCCGGGGGCCCTCCTTGTGGCTCCCTTGCCAGCGGTCTCCACTAGCATGCCCGTTCCTTAGGATGGCCCACTTGGGTGGGAGGTGGAGGCCAGGCGACCTGGGCCCTGCCTGCCTAGGGGTGCAGCCTCTAGCAACTGCCCTTCTGCTTGCTCTCCCCTTTGCTGTGGGGTCTGAACCACTTCAGAAAGGAGGAAAAAAGTCACTATACTAAATATTTCCTTTGACCCAAAGACACTGCTGCTTTATCCCAAAGATAAGGATGCTTGAGTGCACAAATATTTATAGCTACTCTTTTTGTTAAAACAAAGAACTGGAAACAGGGGGTTGCCCATCACTGGGGAATGCCTAACAAATTATGGCAAGTGAATGTAATGGAATATTATTGCACCACTAGGAAATGATGAAAGTCTCCGAAGAAACTGGGAGGATTTCGACAAACTGATGAAGAGTGAAGGGAAGAGAACTAGGAGCAGTTATAGGACACCGCAGGAGAAAACAACATCGAGAAACCCCGGAAGTCTGACTGATGTAATCAGCAGACTTCCAGAGACCCAGAGACAAAGACATGGGCCATCTCCTCCTACCAGAGGTAGGATGGAGCCAAAATGCAGACTGAGACACACATTTCGGACACGGCTTACATAGGAATTTGTATGTATAGAGGGGTTTACTAGGGGTTTTTCTCTTTTTAAAACTGTGTAATGGAGGAGATGGGGAGAGATGAGAGGGACAGAAAAAAATGCTTAGTATAGTGCCGTTAGGTGACGCAGTGGATAGAGCATTGGCCCTGGAGTCAGGAGGACCTGAGTTCACTTTCAGCCTCAGACACATGATACTAGCTGTGTGACCCTGGGCAAGTCACTTAACCGTGATAACCTCACCTAAAACAAAACAAAACAAAACAAAAATGCTTAGTACTTGGGGGAAAATGGAGATCGAAGGGAGGGGAGCCCTGGGTGCCTGCTCAGTGTGAGTCACCATGTGAAGATGCTCAGATGGGTGGGTGAGCATCCCTCCTCCAGCGGACCACCCTGTGCAGGAAGAGTCTCCCTTTGCACCCTCAGTGCTTAGCACAGTGCCTGGCACACAGAGGCATTTACTAAGCCTTTATCACCTGACGCCGCTCAACTCCACAAGGTATGATCCAGCCACACTGACCTCTTTGCTGTTCTCATACAGCCCTCCCTCGCCACTTTGTGCATTTGTGCCGTCTTCCTGGCCTGGAACGCTCTCTCTCCTCACATCTTTTTCCCTAGCTTCCCTCAAAACTTTCTGCAGGTCTTTCCCACTGAGGTTGCCTTCTATTATTAAGGTGTGTGTGTGTATTTTCAGTCATTGTTTAGTTGTGTCTGACTCTTCATGACCCCATTTGGGTTTTTCTTGGCAGAGATACTGGAGAGGTTTGCCATTTCCTTCTCCAGCTCATTTTATAGATGAGGAAACTGAGACAGTGAAGTGACATGCCCAGGGTCACACGACTAGTCAGCATCTGAGGCCACATTTGAACTTAGGAAGATGAGTCTTCCTGACTCCAGGCCAGCGCTCTATCCACTGCACCACCTAGCTGTCCTATATACACATACATATGTAATCTGCATATACATTTCTCCCATTAGAATGACCTGCTTGAGGGCATGGACTATCTTCCTTAGTTCTATTCCCAGAGTTTAGCACAGGGCCTGGCATGCCATGCTTGATAAAAGCCTGTTAAGACTTGGGGTCATGAAACATGACTGTTGCCTTGGAGTATCAGAAGAGTCACCATTAGAAAAGTGGATTCATTTATTCCGCTACTGAAGGGCAGAAATAAAGGTAATGGTGAAAGTGGGCCATCTGTCCCCAGAGGCAATGCTCCCCCTTGCCCCTGCCCAGACAGGGAGACCCCTCATGGGATCAGTGGGGATTCTTGCTCAGGCCCAGGTCAGACTAGAGGCCCTCTGAGGCGAGGCACCTCCAACTCCATCCAGGCTTCGATTCTTCTACACGTGGCCATTCCCAGCTAAACACACCCCACTCCTTCACCTGACCCTTGAGTGATCACCCTCCCCTGGACACATGGCAGCTCATCAATGTTCTTAAAACAGGTGGACTGTAACCAAAGGGGACCCCCATGCTCCTGCTTTGGCCACTTTCTGGGCACTGTCCCCTCACGCTGGGCTTGCAGACCACCTAACACCCTTGCCCCCAACCTTTGACTCCTGCCCTCCTCACCTTGGGCATCCAAGCGTTTACATTCATCCTCCTCCACTTCACCTCTTCGGATCTTTTTGGACTTCTCCTTTGAATGTTTTAGCAAACCTCCCAGGCCTCTGTCCCCTACACCTTTCAAAGCTGGTCAGCTCTGTTGCGCCCCCCCCCCCCCCAATCTGTATTATAGCCTCTAGGTTCTTTTTGCTGATGGAAGAGGAGAGCTAAGGAGCCCCATCTGGTTTCCATGACCTCCTGAATAAGGTAAGGTGTGAACTCCCCCAGTCTTCAGCCCACTACATCAGCCTTTGTGTGGGAGGGCTCAAGTTGCTGGGGGGCTTGCCTGGCCCTTAAGAGGGGACACAGATGCAGCCAGGAGACTTCAGGGCACGGCCCCTAGAGAGGATGTAGAGCACCCATGGGCTGGTGCTGGGACAGAAGAGGAAATACATACAGTTCCTGGAGCGGAGAAGGTAGGAGAGGTGATGGAGGAACCCAGGCCTTATGAACTGAGGAGGCCAGCAGGCCTCAGGTTGGCATGGTCGCAAAGGGAAGGGTGAACACCCTGGGCCTCTCCACAGTACTGAGTCAGGTGGACTCCACAGACCTGGAGAGGGCAGAGCCTGGCACAAGGCAGGCTTTCTTGGCACCATGTGGAAGGGGAGCAGTCCTCTCGAGGGATGCGCATCAAGCCCACCTGAATTACTGTGGCCACATATTCACGTGAGCAGCTCGAGTAACGCTCACTTCATTCTGCGTCTTCACCCCCAGGCCCTGCTCACTGATCAACTGAGGTTTGTTTTGGGGTGGGGTGAACAACAGACACCCTCTATGGGATGGCAGGCCAGATGCAGAGGGAAGGCAGAAGGTGTCACAGAGAGGAGAGCAGGCCGCGAGGTCCACCATGGAAGGGGCCAGATCTAAGTGGCCCATGTTCACATCTCGTCTCTCAGCAGGGTGCCTGCCAGACGCCGCAAAGCCAACACCCTTCCGGGTACACCCTCACACCCATACCGCCAACCCAACCTCCTTCATCAAGCCCTCCCTTTCTTTCCTCTCTCCTCGGGCCTCGATCCTGCTAACACCCCCATCTCTGCCCCAGAGACCCTTCTGGCCCTTCTTCCTTGCCTGGGCCTGCAGCCTTTAAGGACATCTTTAGGGCCCCCGCTAGGAGGCTGGGGAGGCGGATCTCTTAGCCACAGCTTCCGCCTGCTGGGGTGACGCCCTTGATGTGGCCAACCTCCCCCGTACCTGCCCAGCCAGAGAGGGCACAGTCCACCGTTCAAAACAATCTCCTTTACTATTAGACAGATTGATGGCTTCGGTTATCCAGGACCACAGGAAGACTCCAGGAGCCAGCTGGAGACAAGGCCCGGGCTCTCTGGAGAGATGAGAAAGCAGAGCCAGCTGCTTCGGCCTTGCCCCTCCGGGCCTGGCCCTCAGCATGAGGGGGTTGGCGGCAGGGCTGCGGGAGGGGCCCAGGGGAACAGGCAATGGGGTTGGTTTGTGCTTGGCTGAAGCTCCCTGCTTTGAAAGGGGATGAGGAAAGCAAAGGGCTCGCTTGGCATCAGGCGCCTTGCCCTTCACCTTGGCTCCAGCAGGAGCCTTCTCTGGGGCGGGCGTGAAGTGGGAGCCCGAGCAGAGCCCCAGGGAAACGGCAGGGGACTACACAGACGAAGGGCCCACGCTGCCTGTTGTCCACGGCTCCCGCCCTCAGGCTCCCTGCACGGTGGTCCTTCCAATGAAGGGTCTCTGCAGTACCGAGCAGCTGGTAGACCCTGCCCTAATAGAGGCTGGGTCCAGCACAGCCCCTCCCGGAGGCTCCTGAAGCAGTGGTGATGAGGGAACAGGGAAGAAGGGGCTGGAGTCCTAGGCTCCTACTCCACTGGGCCCAGCCCCCAAAGGAGCAAGGTGTGGTTGGAAGGAGAAGCCCGGGCACGCATCACCCATTTGCCTCCTGCCCAGCACGGCCTCCTGGGCCTCTCCTTACCCTCCCAGCCCAGAGCTCAGAGGGGCCAGGGCCAAGAAGGCTTGGCAGGACTGGGCCACCTCTAGTCCTCCCTTTCTTCCCAACTGGGGCAGTCTGGAAGCCAGAAGAGCGGGGTGACCTCATGGGTGCCGCAGGACGGCCTGCAGGTCATCAGGCAGGGAACCAATGACAGTGTCAACATACAGAGCCACCCGCTGTAGTGTCTCCTCCTTCACCGGGAGCTGGTGAGCCTGGGCCTGGATCTTGGGGAAGGGAAGGGAAGGGATTCCTGAGCGGGAGAGAATCCAGCTCTGTCTCTTCACAGAGCCCCAGGCCCCAGGCCTCCCAAGGTCTAGGCTTCGTGGGACACGAGCACGGGGCTGGTTGCTTGGAACACAGGAGAACACAGACGTTACAGGCCTCGAGACCATGGAGGAGGACCCGAGGCGGCCAGAGGGAGGGAGAGCCTGCTCTGGTATGGCCCCCATTCTCTTCAGCGCTACATACCTGATGAGGGGGGAAGGAAGACAGGGAAAGAGAAAGCAGGGAGGGAGGAAGGAAAGGAGGAAGAAAGCAAGGGAAAGAGGGAGGAAGGAAGGGAGGAATGGAAGGAGAGAGAGAAGGAAGGAGGGAGGGAGGAAGGAAGGAAGGGGTGAGGAGGGAGGGAGGGAGCTCACCAGCTTTTCTCGAAGCTTCAGGACCAGATCAACGATCTCTACCTCAGACTTGTCTTTCATCCAGGTCAGGATGTTCTGCAGGGAGACAGCAGGGCCGTGCTAGCCTCTCTCTCAGGCCTGGGCCCTTGCTGGGTAGCTGTGTCCCAGCCTCGCTCCCCTGCACGTGCCCCCTGCGGCCCCAGGCCTGGACCCTGCCCCTCCGGTGGCCTCTGGGCCCACTCCTCTCTGCCCAGTTCTGCACCCGGGGCTTTATCTTCTGATATCAAGTCTACACCCGCACCTCAACAGCTCCCCCAGTCGTTCCTGGTTCTGCCCCCTGGAGCCAAGGAGGACAGGCGAATCCTCTGAAGACAAGCAGACTCGCAGTCTCCTCCACACCAGGCGCAGCACGCCTAGCCCCCTCCACGTGGCCGCCTCCTGGGGCAGCCCTCAGCTCTCTCCCCATGCTGGTCACCTTCCTCTGAAGCCAGGCTCCTCCCCGGGGCTAAGGGCCTGAGGGAGCTCTTGGGGTCTGGTCATTCAGCCAGTTCTGCGGGCCCGTCCTCTGTCCTGCCCACGTGGACAGCAAGAGGGACCAGCGAACACACACTGTGCTGCGCGCTGGTCCTGCCGACTCCTCAGGCTCCTGCCCCTCCCTGGCCCCTGTGCCTCATCAGCTACGAAGGCTGGACGCTGCCACCTCCACGACGTCCCTCTCGCCTGCCGGCCTCCACCCACAGCCCCCACACTGGTCCCTCTGACTCAGGGCCAAGCCCCACTCCTTGCCTAAGGGTTACAGCGGCTCCATTACCTGCGGGGTCAGCCATTCACATCCTGGCCCCACCAGTCCCTGTGGACTCATGGATTCTCTGTGGCGCGGCCACTGGCCACCCTTGCTCCTCTCACACCTGATCTGTCGCCTCCCGTGCTCGGAACGCTCTCTCCTCCCCCTATTTCAGATTTCAGAGCCCCCACCTTCTCCACAGGCCCTGAGGCCTGAGACCGTCCCCAACCCGGGGCCTGGCTCACAGCAGGTGACTGACAATGGCGTCTTCCTGATCTGCCAGCCCATGCACCCCGTTCGAAACACTCCCTTCAGGGCAGCTAGGTAGTGCAGTGTATAGAGCACTGGTCCTGGACTCAGGAGGACCTGAGTTCAAATCCGGTCTTAGACCAGACACTTGACACTTACTAGCTGTGTGACCCTGGGCAAGTCACTTAACCCCACTGCCTTGCCAAAAGAAAAAAAAACCCACTCTCTCCCCTCTAAGGCTAGCCTCGTTCGCCCCACATCCCACACTGCCTCCACTCACCGCCTCGCAGATCACCTCCAGGTGCAGCGCCTCCAGCTTCTGGGTCATCTCCCTGTGCCGCTGCCGGTACCAGCCATCAAAATTAGGAGACTTGAAAAACCGCCTGCCAGGAGAAAGATGGTCACCCTGTGGTCAGGCCCCAGAGACCCCTCAGGTGTGAGAGGGCAATGCCACGCCTCCAAGAAGCAGAGGGAGCAATCCTGCTGGTTACCCAGTGAGGCCCAAGGCCTTAGCTCACAGCACCAGGCTGCAGGGGGAGTTCCGCTTCCTCGGCCCCAGACAGTCCGGGCCTGCCAGTGTTTATGCACCTCCTGAAACAGTCCCTGAGGAGTGGTTAGCCAGCCTCTGCTGGTGGCCCGCTCTGAGGTGCTTCCTCAGTGGAGGGAGGAAGGCCTGGGCTCAGACCCTGCCACAGCCATTCACTAGTTGGGCAGGTCATCTAACCTCTTCCAGCCTCAGTTTCCTCATCTGCAAAATGAGAATGAGAGTACCCACAGTGCCCACCTCCCAGCAGGCCAGTCGGGAGACTCGAAAGGAGGTAACTGGCATAAAGTGTCTTTGTCCGTCTTCACTGCTGGAGAAGGCCAGTTTCTAGAACGTTCTTCATCCAGGCCCAGAAAACTACCTCCTCTGATTCTGTACTCTGCGGCCACGCAGAACATGGCTCAGCCCTCTCCTGTGTGACAGCCTCTCACATATTGTTCCCCCTTCATTTCTCCCTTTCCCAAGCCTCCCCCTTCCCCCCAGCCTTGCTGTGTCCCTACCTGTATAGGCCTAGCCAATCCCCCTTGAGGACACAAGTAAGCTGGGGACCAGCATGCTCCAGGCTCTTCAGGAAGTCATCCTGGCGGAAAGGACGGATCTGGGGGGGAGTCTGAGGCAGAGAACAGCTCTGAGGGCCAGGCCCAGGGGCCTCTTTCCAGGGTAGGGCCCCACGCCTGACACATCCTGCAACAGAGGAGGCTGACCCTGGGCTGGGAGCTGGGAGCTGCTGCCCATGATGGGCCATGGCTAGGGCTGGACTGGCGGGCTCAGACTCACCTTCCAGGGCGTGACAGCCCTCTGCAGGGGCATCAGGCTTGCCATGTAATGCTCCTGAGGAGAAGGGAAGCCCCAGTCACCGTCAGGCCCAGAAAGGAGGTCCCCCAGTGGCCCGCCACCTCCAGCTGCTGGAGCCTCCTCTCTCTGACTCCATTTACTCTGGAGAGGCTGAACTCCTGACACGTTGTCTTTCCACTCAGAATGGGAGCTCCCTGGGCACGGGGGCTGTTTCTGTCTTGCTTTGTACCCCAGAACTTTGCCCAGTTCCTGGCATACAGTAAGTGCCTAAACAATGCTTGCTGCTTGACACACCACTGGGGTCTCCACGTCGCTCCCTCCCTGGCCCACTCCTGAGCAGGATTCAGGGGATGAGCCAAACCTGGCCCAGGCGCCACAGTTCCTCAGAAGACAAGGGACATTTGGGGGTGGGGGAGAGCGCATTCCCGCTCACCAGGGGGATGATGAAACTCTGGGTGAGCTCCAGGAGATGTCGTCGAACCAGCGCACTCTGCACCTCTGAAGGACGCTTCCTCTGGATGCCCTGCAGGGAGACAGTGCCCAGGACCCCTTCTTCCCATGGCCAGCCTCAGCCAAGGGACAAGGATGCTTGGGCCCTCGGGGGGAGGGTGGAGACTACACTCACCTTCAACAGCCTCTTAATGAGCGTTTTGTCTTTGTGCAGGTAGGTTTTGTAGGATGTGTAGAGTCCTGGGGGAGAAGAAAGTCTATTTGATGCACTTCCCGGGACACCCCCAGGCACTCCACGGGGGCTGGGAAGAGTCTGAGAGGTGAGGGGGTCTTGTCTCTCCATGCCAGGCGGGCTAATCAGCTCACCCGGGCTGGCCCTGTCCTATCCCTCTCCCTGTCCCAGAGGGGGTTCTCTCCTGTAACCCCCGAGGACATTTCTACTCACCCGGCTTGGTGTCCAAGGTCTTCAACTTGGCAAGTTTCTTCATCTTGACTTGCTTGGGAAGGTCCCCTGTAGAAACACATGCCTGTTGTGTCAGGTCTATGAGGGAGGGCCCAACCAGGTAGCCGGCCAGGGGAGGGGGGACATGCTAGAGCCTTGGGGGCTCATGGTGGCACTGCCTTGGTCCTCAGCTCAGGAGGCCAAGGGTAGTACAAACAGCCACACTGGAAATTCAGGAGTGCCTCTCTCTCTTTGGTCCATGGACATGGGGCAGTTTGCCTTGGGGTGCCTGGGTCCCAGCGTCCATCCCAGACTGGAGATGGGAGGAAGTTGTTCTGTGTGTCTGAAGAAGCCTGGGCTCACTAGCCTACGCTGGGTCTCTTGGGTGCCTCCAGAAGCACAGAGAGGAAGGCCAGGGGAGGGGCTTGGGGAATCCCCCACCTCCTCCCCTTCCCCACTGCCCCAGAACACACGTCTCTGAGGAATGAGATCATGCCTCACTCAGGGCTGAGTTTATGACAGTCCTTGGCCCCTTCTCTCCTTCCAGCCGTAGGAGACAACAACTCCTGAGCGAATCTGCCAAAACTCATACTGTCTCATTCCCCCTGCTCACAGAGCTGGAGGCCTGGGACCTCACTGGGGTCTCAGCAGGGGCCAGGGCTGCAACACCCTCTGTTTTGAGCTTTACCTGACATTTTGAGCTCCCCGATCCGGAGGATGTGTGGCCAATGCTGAAGTGTTTTGATAAAAAAAGGATTTGTGACTCCCAGGACAACATTCGGTCTACAGAAAGAGAGAAGAGACAGAGGGACAGAGAAAGGAAAGGAGCAAATAAATAAGAGGCAGATGAAGACAAGAGGCTGAAGAGAAAAAACAGCGTGAGCCTATGACTGCCTCACCCCACTACCAAGTGTCACCCAGGGCCGAGGGGCTGGAGGACAGAGGGGGGCACTCACGGGGCCTAGGGCCAAGGGGCTGGCAGGCGTGGGGGGGGGGAAGGGCCTCATGAGCCCCAGGGCTGAGAAGCTGGAGGGAAGAGGGGAAGCACTCATAAGGCCTGGGGTCAAGGGGCTGGTGGACAGAGGGGGTGTACTCACGGGTCCTGGAGCCAAGGGGCTGGAGGGGAGGAGTGCTCACAGGCTCTGGGGCCAAGGGGTTGGAAGGGAAAGGGGAGCACTCACGGGGTCTGGGGCCGAGGGAGCGGCAGGCACGGCGCAGGGGGCACTCACAGGGCCCGGGGCCAAGGGGCTGGCAGGCGAGGGGGGGCACTCACGGGGCCTGGGTCCGGGTAGTATACTCCTTGAACTCGCTGTCATGGATGGTGAAGTAGGGTCGGTAGTCACAGCAGAACTTGAGAGGAGTCAGGCAGCTGCAGTGAGAAGGCCGATCAGCCCCTAGGCTGGGCCCTGGCCCTTGGAGCTCTGAGATTCAGAGAAGCCAGTGCCTGAGCTCTTCAGGGACCAGGAGGTCCTGTCAGGGTTTCTGTGGCCAGGCCAGCAGAGGACTGGATGGGTGTTTGCCAACACACCAGCCTATGGTGTACTTGGTGTGCTGCCAGGGGAGCTGGGCCAGGAACAGGACGGGCCCTGGAGCAGGGACGGCAGTGTCGAGAAGGACCCTGGAAGAAGTGAGGCTCAAACCCAGAGTGTATCTGAGGGCATAACACCCTCTGCTCGACACAAGTCAGCTGAGAGACAGCAGAATTCACTAGCTCACAGAGCTTGCAGCTGGTGGCAACCTCAGATCCAGTCATTTTAGAGGTCAGAAGCCTGCCCTTGGGGCTCCACTTAGCCACCAGCACGATCTCATACAGAAGCTGTCCCAGCATTGAGGACAGTAAGAGTGACCGTACAGCACTCACTGGGCCATTTCCAAAGGGCTTTCCCCACATCGTCTCAACTGATCCTCACAAGCCCTCCCCCACCCATGATGCAGGGTAGGTGCTAGCATTAACTCCATTTTAGAGATAAGGACATTGAACCTCACAGGGTGAAGAAGGCCAGCACACAAAACAGCACCCCGCCCCAGAACATCGAGAAAAGCAAAAGCGAGGGCAGGCTCGACTGTGGTCCTGGAGTGAGTCCTGGCACTCTGGAGGGGGGGGTCTGGCCAGGCCCACGAACCCGTATCTCGAGGTGTCACCTACCTGGTCAGGGCCAGCACCATCTCTGACGAAATGGTTGGAGATGGTGCCATGACAACAAGGGGCTCCCCCAGGAGCATCAGCTCCCACAGCAGCTGGATATGAATCAGCACAGGCTGGAAACACCTGTCAGCAACAAAGAAGGCAGAGAGGGGTCAGCAGCCAGGAAGGGAAGGCCTGACCATGCAGCTCCTGGCTGCACCACCACCAAGCCGGCCTGCCTCCAAAATGCTTCCCCTGAGCTCTGGCTTTCTCTGGTTCAGGAAAACAAACTCACAAGGTCTGGGGAATCTGAAACCCCATTATCATCCCTCTGCCTCCGACGGGCAAAGCTGCAGCCTGGGTCGGGGGAGGGTATGAGTGATGGGCTCTGTGATCCACGTGGAGGGCCACAGCTGAAAAGACACATGTGGGATGTGACCCCAAGGCCTTGCTCTCCTATAGGACACTCCCTTGACTTCAAGAGTTCTTAACATCACGATAACTATTGCAATGAAATTGTTTCCACTGTAATCCGATGTATTTTATTTTAAACTTTTACAACATGCTTCTCGTGTGGAGTGGGCTGGCTTCTTCAGACTAGGGGTCCAGGACACCCAAGGGTGAAGAGTCCTTGGCCAACATGAAGCTTGTGCTGGCCTGGCGTCTCCTCCTCAGCAGGCCACCCCGAGGCCTAAAGCTTTGTGCTGGGCCGGCTCCCTGGGGCGGGGACAACAGGAGCGCCCGCCGACCCCCAGGACCACCGGGTCTCAAGGGTGGCCGTGCTGAGACTCTGCCCCTTCAGATCTGTTCCACGGGCTGCAAAAGGCATCAGGGCTCAGGCACGGAGGACTCCATCTGGGGCAGAAATGGCCTATTAGTACTCTCTCTGCTGGGCAGTTCTCTCCCACTCCCTTTGGCCTATTCCCCCATGAAGCAAGGAGAAGGAAGGGAAGGGCACAGTAAAATCTTTCCCTCATAAACAGAACCCAGACCTCCCAGGCCTGAATGTGGGGAGAGGAAAGACCACACCAAAATAAAGCAGCCGCTTCAGGTGGGGCTCAGGGACCAGCATCCAAGCCTCCTTGAGCCCTACTGCCTGGACTGTTGTGGGGAACCTGGTGTGTCTAGTTGTGACATGGAGGGAACCATCTGCCTCCTCTCTGAGGAGAACCAGAGACTGCAGGCATTGAGGACTTGGATGGGAGGCAGGAGAGGAGACAGTTAACATCACTCACCATCCGAAATGCTGGTTCTTGTCAGCTACCGTCGGGGGAGGCCCAACTCTCAGCCTCCTAGGCCAGGAGACAGGCCCAGTGACAGCCCCTTCTCTCCCCTCCCCAAACACACATTGGTCTTCCTCTCTCAGCTAAGCTAGTGTCCAGGACATGACACCTGGATTTAGGATTTCCCAGGAAGCTTCTCCCTGCACAAGGGAGAGGCGAAGGTGGTGAGCATGGCCGGTAGGCACTACCCATGAAGGTGGCTGCCCCTTCCCCTGTGTCTCTGCACATCTTAGGCATTCTTTATGGTCCAGCCTGAGGGCAACAGTCTTTGTTCCCGGCTTCCCTGTGGCCTTTCCTCTGGCCCGTACCACGCAGCGCTCTCACCCCTCTGAGGCTCCCCCAAGCTCCTTACGCCACTCTCTGCAAGGTCACTCCTGAGCCCCACATTGCAAAGTCCAAGGAGTTCTGTCTGCAGCCTCTGATCCCATTCACCAACTTCACCTTCAAGAAACTCCGCCCTCCTGCCGGTGTGCTAACTGCAATTTGCTGTTTGAATTTTATGGTCACCTTTGTTTTTACATCCTGGGTATTTCCAAATATAAGCCCCTGCCTTTGTATGCTCAAATAAAAGCCTTCCTTTGTACCAAAGGTCTTTTTCAAAAGTTCAACCGAAGCAATTGACACAGAGATTGCTTTTGACAGCACACAAAACAGCCCCCGCCCATTATGCCTGGTCCCCACTGCTCCAGGGAAAGGAGGGAGGCCTGTTTTCCTATCTCTTCTCACGGGAGCTGTCCGAGCCTCCTCTGGTCTCCTCTTCCTACACTTGGGCACTAAATGAACAGCTTCCCTAAGCACCCACGAGTGCCCCCAGGGTCCCATCTCCCCCTACGATGGCGGGGATGGCAGCAACACCTTTCTACATTTCTAAAGTGTTTTACCAGTGGGATCCTGACTCTGGGAGGCGGGTAGCCTTCTTCGGATCCCCATAGTCACAACTTCTCTCTCGAGGGCCAACCCCCAATCCCCGGGATCTAATGGGGGGACAGGCCCTCTCAAAGGTCCTACTTAATGGGGAATCCTTTCTACTTCATCCCCAACCAGCGGTCACCCCAGTTTGGCTTGAAGCAGGACAAAGACCCTGCCACTGACTGCACCTGCCACCTAGGCTCTCATTTGGGGGAAGTTTTCCGTACTCCCCCTCCAATCCTGCCTCTGGGGTCAAACGTCAAAGTGGGTCCCTCTTCTCCAATACCTGAAGGCCGCTACCACAGCCCCTGGGGTCCTCTCTTCTCCAGGCTAAACAGGTGCAATTCACAGAGAATCGGAGTCAGAAGGGACCCTGGGGCCACGCAGCCCAACCTTTCACTAGAGCATCTGCCTGAAGACCTCCAGGAAGGAACAAACCCTTGAGAACAGAACTGAGGCAGTCCCCGCCACTTCCGAATCACTACCTGTCGGGATGTTTTTCCTGACCTCCAGCTGCCATCTGCTTCTCCGCCATCAATCAGTCGCTTCAAACTACCCTTGTGTAGACAAACCACTGGAAGAGCCTTAGCGAACTTCTCAGATGCCACCAAGTTGGCTCTGATTGAGGGCAACCTCTCCAGCCCTGGATGCTGCCCCTCCCCCTTCAACACCACACAGGGAGGATGTGTCCCCGAAGTGGTACACGGCCCGTGGACGTGGACCTTTGAAGGGACAACAGGAAGCAGAGAACCTGACAGATGGAAAGACCTAGAAGAGAGAGGGGCCGCACAGATCTGCAAGGGGAAGCCCCTGCTGAGAACCAGAGCCTACAAAGGCCACAGTGCAGTGGCAAGGAACGCCTTGGCCAGAGGGGAGCTCGGGAACCACATGCCGGGAGCAGACTCAGCGCTGTGACGCAACAAAGAAGTCTCTGGGCTGAGCAGGGGCAGAGGAGCCAGCCCCAGGCTGAGCCTTCCCTGGTGCTATGCACACAGGGTCAACACCAACAAAGGGGGCCTGGAAATCCTTGTGTATGGGGAGGGGGTTACACTCTAAGTACAGAGCCCAAGGGGGTGGTCTCTGGCAGGCGCAGGCGAGGAGACTGCTCTGAGTGTTTATGTGCCCAGGTACAAGTCAATGCACTTATTGTCAGGAAGTTCCTGGGCGTGGACGCTTGAGGTGGGGCTGAGGCCTCTTTCAGGGTGTGGTGACAGCCCAAACCTCAGCCAAATTCTACCAGTCCTAAGGGAAATCCGGGATGGGGGGAGTAAGGATGTGTGCGGGGGGGGGGGGGGGGGGGAGCCAGAAAGAGATTTGGGGAGAATCCCTAATTGGCCTCCTCTGTGAGCTAGAGAAGCCTAGCCTCTGTCTACGGACTGCAGTCTAACAGCATCTTCTCCAGTTCTCTCACTATCCTGGTCACCTTCTTCCGGACACACCCCATGAGTCGAAGTCTTTCCTAAAAGGGACTGGCTGGTCCACCTCACAGAGTTTTACCTCCCTCCCTCAAAGGCAGCACCTCGTCTGGGAGTGCTGGCTCCTCTGGGGCTTGCCATCTCAAGACCAGTGGCTGATACTGAGTTTTAAGGTCACTCTGACCTCCGGATCTTTCCCCTAGCCTGCACCTGTGCAGGGGATGTTCTGAACCCCAGCTGAGAGCTTTATGATTCTCCCTCCTGAATGTTACCTCACTGGATCTGGCCTGTGGTTGGACAGAGGCTCTGCTATCCAGATCGCCTGACATTTCTCCCAGCTTGAGGCTTTTCCCGTTGGGGCCTTCACCTCCACTCAGAGAAAAGGGCTGGATGGGTCATGGCCAAAGAAGAGGACTCCCTCCTGGCTGACATGAATCCGATTATCGCTGCTTTCTGGGTCTGGCTATTTAGCTAGTTCCAAGGACACTGGACGGTACTCTCGATGAACTCCAGTCTTTCCATCTCAAGCCCAAGTCAAGCATGAACAAATCTCAGCCTTGGGTGGCTACAGCATCACCCTCATCTAACATCAAAGGAAGAAAGGAGGCCTGTTCTTGACGAAGCCAGATCAGTCCCTGCTTCCCTTTCACAAGGCTCCTCAATGCTCTCCTTAACAACAAAATAGATTCTCAAGTTTCACTGGAAAGGGAAGTCAAGTTCTAGATGAATCTAGACAGAGTTGGCAGCTCTGCACTTGGCCCGGCCTGTCCAGGTCTCTTGGAGGTCACTGGAGCCACCTGGTGAGAATCCCATCTGACGGTTTTCCCAATGACCCCCAGGTGTATTTCATGTGGATCTGAACTCGGGGAGCGTGGTGGTCAGAGGCTGCCCGACATCTTCTCACATAGGCTGGGGAGATGTCTGGTCTCTGCTAACAAATTCTGTTCACCCTTCTCCTTGCAAAGACCCTTCTCTTTGGAAGACAAACAAGAGGTGGACAGGCAGTTCAGCCCTCTCGCCATTGCCCCACCTCCCACCCCTCCTTCCAGACCTGTCCAGTACTTGTCACCTTCCTTCCAAAACCAGGCCCCTCCTCACGAACCTCACTGAGCCCTTTGTGACGTCTCCTGCCCTCGCACCCCCTTCACGCCTGACACAGTGCAGCCCTTTCCTCTCCATCCTCGGGGTCACTGCCACGCTTCGGCTACTCACTCCTTCCGTCTTACCTGGACGACTGTAATATGAGCCCGAACCAGGCCCCCTTCCCCAACCCACCCGATTCATTCTTCCAAGATTAATCTGCCTAGTGGCCGTTGGCACCGTGACTGCTCTGCTCAGACGTTTCCCATGGCTTCATTCTATCTATGGGAATACAAATCACCCTGCTTAGCTCAGCCCTCTTACACATCCTTCTCCCCAGTTACTGTAGTGCCAAACCAAATGTGACCGCTAACCGTGACTCCTTGCCTCACCGCCCTGGCATACCTTGGGCTTTCTCACTGCCATGTCTTGCTCACGGCTTTTTCATCATCTGGAAAATAATCTCTTCACACTCCTGCCTACAAGGGATACATCTACCCTTCCATGGCCACATCCAAAGCTACCCTCCCCCTAGTCTTTTGGATTTCCCCAATCCCCAATTCTGAGCACTCTGTAGCGCTCTGGCAGTGCGCTATGTCCCTCCCTCGCTAGGCTGTCAGCTACCTGCACAAAGGGGCCTCCTAGCCCCCTCTACCCACTCCACCTCTCTCACAAAACAGGCTGTGCAAAAGAACACTGGCTCAGGGAACACTTACACAGGTGATCCATGTTCTACACTCTTACCTGAAAAGATCCAGCTCATTAACACTGGAGAGAACTAACGGAGCAGGGAGCAGATTCTGGATGGGAGAAGAAAAACTGTGAGAGTTGGCATTGGCCCCAGGACCCATCCTCGCTCTGGTGAGGCCCAGTCAGCCTCCGCTGGGAGACCAGCCCTCCCCTTCCTCAACCTGCTCTCTAGAACCCAGCCAGGAAGAGCGGCGAGTGCTCAGCCAAGGGGCGGAGAGCGTGAATGGCAGCTCCAGGTGGCAGCCAGGGCCAGTTGAGCAGATGTGGTATGAAGAGCCATACTTGGCACCCCCAGGATCTTAGTTCTGCATACAGTTTAGGAAGGAGCTGGGGGATAAGGCTACTCTGTGCGTGTTACTGTGTATGTGTACATAGGGGTGTATGGGCACACACACAAGCACATGAGAAGTCCAGGCCCTGGAGATGGGACCAAAGGAAGAGGAAATAGCCCACTTGGGGCCTCTTACCTCCTGGTTAAACTGCTTTACAGGGCTTGACTCTAACTTGTCTACACGGGATGGGATCCGTACCTGGAAGGGTTAGGGTCAGGGTTAGGGTTGGAGCAGGGTCAACAGAGGGCCGGCCCTCATTAGGCCCAGCTCCACGTCTCCACCATTTCCGCTGCCGTGGCCACAGCAGTGAGGTGGCAGACTCCTTGCTGCCCTAGGCTTGGTCCTTGCTTAGCTCAGCCTGGCTCTGTGGTGGGACAGGAGTCTCCTCTGCCATCCTGGGGGGCCCAGGCGGCCAGTTCAGACTTAAACAGAAGTCTAGAGAGGGAGGGTCCCTTAGAGGTCATCCAGTCAAACCCCCCACCCCTGAGGCAGCCTTGGCTTGGACGCCTGGAATGGGGAGACTCGAGCCTTACAAGGCAGCTGACAACTCCAACTGTTACAAAGTCTCTTTGTAGGCTACGCCTCGGTGTGCCCTCCTGTAACTCCCTGGTCATTCCTGGTGGGGTCCTCGGGCCAGGTAGAACAGGTTTCCTCAGCATCACCAGCTAAGCCAGAGACCAGCGGGGCTCTCCTCTCCCTAGTTTGGACGGGATCTTTACTTGCATTGGCACAGGGAATTCCCAGTGAGCAAACTACCTCCATCAGTGCAGACTCCGCTCCACTCGACCAGCATTTCTGCCAGGCGCTGCACTCAAGACTGGGGAGCAATGAGTCTGCGTTTCCCAGGGCACCCAGAGGGCAGCTTACTTGGGTCACGCAGGCATTCTTGTCAGGTCTTCTGACCCCGAGGTCAGCCTTTTCTCTACGGTCACACCAGCCTCTTGGCTGATGCACTGACTCATGAGGAACCTGTGATCCCTAAACCTCCCAGGATTGTTCACAGGGACTTGTATGAGCAAAGCTCGCCAGCCTTGGACTTGTGGATTTCACCTTTTGGGCCTAAATGGAGGAGTCACTGGGGATCCCCGTTAAATTTCCCACTCCTGCTTGGTAAGATGTTTTTGCAATCTAATCTGCTGTGCAGGGTCTTAGCTCAGCCTCCTAGCTTTGGATCAGCATTGTGGCCTCAAACACTGACATCACTTCATTTCTGCCTGCCTTGGTTTCCTCGTGTGTAAAATGAGGATAATAACAGCACTGACGTCCCAGGGTTGTTGTGAAGATAAAACTCAATAATGTTTGTAAAGTGCCCTGCAAACCTTAGAGTATTATATCAATGCTAGCTATTATTGGTAGTGGACTTGGGATAAAGAGAAGCCTGGGTTTAGATTCTGCCTCTGACACTTAGTAGCTGTGTGACTGGTGGCAAAGCCCAGCCTCTCTGGGCACCAATTTTCTAACTAGTGAAATGGGGCTGTCCCCGCCTAGGGTTCTTATAAGGATCAAATGTGAAAGTACTTGAGAATCTTAGGTCTTATATAAATATTGCTTATTATTATTCACAAATCTGGTAACCAGTCATAAATATCTTACCCAAATGGTCAACAATGCTGAATCCTTGGAGCCTTCCCCTATGGACCTCACATTATGACACAGACTCTGCCCAAACCAGATTAAAATGTATTGGGAAAGAGTTTGCAAAATAAATAATCCAACAGAACGTGGGCACTGTGAGCTTGCAGGATCCATTTCTGTTTGGGTCTGACCCACGGCTGAGTCCCCAAGCACTCTATGGGCTCCTCATCCAACCTGTCCCCCGAGCACTCCATGGGCCCATGACCCTGCCCTCTGTTCCACAAGGGCAGTGTGAGGGCCTTCTCCTCCCTTCCTGAGGTCTAGGCATGCTACATCAGTCCTGGCCCATGCCTGGCTCCTCGTTACCTGCATGACGACTCCCATCACGGGCAGATTCAGAGTCTGTCCTGGCACTGGGGTGGGCCACTGGTCAATCTCGTTGCACACTGCCAACATACGTCAAGGAGGAGTTAGGAGTGGGCCCAAGCAACCAGGCTGGCTCTCACCTGGGGTGGTTTGCCCCTGCCCTCACCCCCTCAACCAAAGAATAGTCATGAGACCTGAGCACCACCCATGCCAACGGTGGGAATCTGGACAGCCTGCACTAATCTGCCCGGGACATAAGAAGGAAGGGCTCTCAGCGAGCGAGCCATCAACTGACTAGCTCATGGCCGGCCAGAGCTCTGGGCACCGCAGGAGAGCTCATTCACTAAGAGAGAAGCCCCAGACCTCACCTCCTGTTTATTCTGTGCCAGGCAGGGCACCACAGAGGGGGCTTTTTCAAGATCATGAGCCCGAGGCAGTGCCTCTGGGTCTAGCACCCAGGAAACATCTTCCTCTCCCCCAACCCGTGCCCGTGCCCTCCTGACCCCCCAACCGCTGATGACCTGCTCAGACCGTTTGGGGGCTCACCCGCTTCCAAGCATGGAACCAGCTTCTCAAAGTACTCAGGAGCAATGAGGTTCAGGAGCGACTGGAACAAGCTCACATAGGGCAGGCGGGACACCAGCACCAGTGACTGAAAGGGACCCACAGGGAGGGAGCTTAGTGGGCACAGGGACTCCTTCACAGATGCCCTCTGTCCTCTCCTCCCACTTTCCTCAGAAACTGGACCCCAAACTACTGGGCACAGCACTGCCCCACATCTGACGACAGATGCACCGTCCTGCCCTAGAAAGGCAGCGTGGGACAGCGGGCAGAGCGCCAGGCTTGCAGTCAAGAAGACCTATATTCAAGCCTGTTTCAGACACGCCTGGGCCTCACATTTCTCTCCTCTGTAACATGAAGTGTTGGACTAATGACCTCTCGGTCTTCCAGTTCTAGGTCTGGAATCCTGTGGTCCAGTGGCTGCTGGGCATAGACGGGGCCATTCTGCAGACCGACATTCTGGGCAGGGCTCCCTTGGAGCCCCATCCTGGTGGGAAGCCGTGTCTGAAGTTAGAGAAGCCACCAATGCCACGGCCCTTGTGTGGGACGATCATGGGAAGACAAAGGAGCTGGGGGTGACTCAAGGAAATGGACAAAAGGAATGTGGTCTGTGCCCTGGGCTGGCGGTCTCCTCTGCCTCTAATCCTGCCCTGGTGCCTGCACACTGGAACGTCCACTACCACGACCAGCTTCGACTTCCAAAGCATGATTTCAGAGGACCCTGCAGCCTGCTCGCCAAAGCAAGGTCTAGCAGGCTCCTCAGACGCCCCCGACTGGACCCGTCCTCACGCTTGCGCCGTGTGGTGGGCAAGGAGGTGAGAGGTGACTGCAAACAGCCGGCTACTGGGCAGAGGAACCTAGCCTAGGAGGGGCTGCCGGCCTCCCTGGGGCACCTGGTCTTACCTTCTGGAAGTAGCCTCTCTTCACAGCACTGTCCTTCACCTGCCTGAAGTACACGTAGCCAAACAAGTGGGCGGCCTCTCTCTGGCAAAGACAGGCAGCCATCAGGTGGCATCCCAGGGCAGAGCTACATTCTCTTCCCACCCAGCATGCCTTCGTTTGCTGCCCTCTCTGCCAACGGGGAAAGGCCCCGGAGACTAGGACCGTGGCTAAGGCGTCTCCTCATCCCTTCCCCACAGCAACGCATGGGCTGAGGCTCAGAGAGGAAGAGAGAGGCTACCTGGGCAGAGCTGACAGTGAACGAAGACCTTCCAAGCACAGTAACTAACGGCGGCCGGGCTTAGGCAGGAAGACCATGCTGTCCCCACTGAGTGGGAAGCCTCAGAGTGTCAGGGACCACCTGCCTTCTGCAGGTCTTATCCCACCCCCACCGAGGACCGCGAGTTCTTGCTGAATGAATGAACAAATGAGACTCAGAATTTGCTGTCTTGTTAAGAGTAGAATCAAGTCCAGCTGGTGGTCAGGATGTGGAGGGGGGAGGACAAGAAGGGGAGGGGCGGCATGCCTGAGGTGACTCCCTCAGCAGGGCCAGGGGAAGCTCGCGTGGCGGTAGGCCAAGCCAACGCGTCCCCACAGCCTGGAGGCAGGTGCGCTGGGCTCCCAGGGCCCATAGCACCTCCTGAGCTGAGCAAACTTCGCAGGGATGGGGCAAGCGGGGCGGAATGAAGAGCTTCTGCCCTCAGGAGAATGGGACAATCCCTGGACTGCTGTGGGGACAGGGCCCGGTGCTAGGGTCTGACCACAACCTGCCTCTTCCTGCTCTGAGGCCTTGGCCTGGTGTGGAGGGGAGCCTAACACGTGGCCAGGAAGGCTTCGAGACAGGCCAGCAACAAACAGGTTTGTGGGGGGCAGCTGGGTGGAGCAGTGGATAAAGCACCGGCCCTGGATTCAAATCCAGCCTCAGACCAGACACTTGACACTTACTAGCTGTGTGACCCTGGGCTAGTCACTTAACCCCAACTGCCTTGCCAAACAAACAAACAAACAAGTCTGTGTGGCTCCCGGACCAGTGAGGCCAAGGGCCCCAAGCCCTGGAATGCTGTTCTGTGGACATGCTGTCCCCCTCAAGACATCTCATAGCCTACCCCCTTCTACTGCATCAAGTGTCCAGGGGGAGGCCCACCTGCAGGAGCCAGAGGACGGAGGCTGGACACTCCCACCCCATCCTGTCTATGGTCCTCGGAGAGGCCCCAGCCAGGAACGGCTCACTCACCTGCAGGGTGACAGGAACCCCTCTGTTATAGCCATCATCCTCATCAAGAGCGTGGAGGCTCCTCTGTCCCCCAGACTGACGCATCCGGAAGCTAAACTGGGTGTCCCCAAGGCAGCCTGAAAGAAGCAAGGCCTGAGCCAGTTACCCAAGGCATACGGGCAGCCCTGATGCTGAGGCTGGGCCTCGTAGAAGCTCCAGGGCACAGCGCCTGTGCTGGCACAGACATGCCCAGTGTCCTCTAAGCCTTGAAGTCTGATGCTGGCTGACAGCTTGAGCCCCCAGGGGCCCTGGGGAGGAGTCCTAAGCATGGGGCAAGCTTGGTTTCAAGCTTAGGAAATGAGTGGCCTGTGCCAGACCTTGACCTCCGTGGCCCCGGCACCCCGTCTGTGCAATAAATACAGGACAAGGGTGGTACCCGCTCCTGAGCCTTCAGAGTAACCTCGCATTCTGCAAAGAAGCCTGATAAGGAGTTCAAGAAGGGGCCCAAGGCTGAGGGTCAGAGATCACATGACCACCATGAATCTGAAGGGTTCTTAAGCCACAAGGAGAAAGTTCACAGGGTCTTTCTCCGCCCTTCAGCAAAGGAAGATTCAAAGGTCACCTTCCCTCCTCCCTGCAACTGCTCCTCTGGCTGTGGCTCAGATCTGCTGTCTCAGGCCCTCCCTGCAAAATGCTCACAAAACAGAGATTCCCTTCACAGCCTCTGGCACTGTAAGCATGCTGTGTCCAGCCCCAGGTCCCTGAAGCCCCCATGGCAGGTGCAGTTAGCAGGCTGGGAACACCAAAGAAGCCACTCCAGATAACAGGCTCAGGTATCCAGTCCCTGCGAAGTTACCACGGTGGGCTGTGGTGCTTGGGGCGATAGGGCTTTCCTTGGGATAGAGGTTCAAGGCTCCCTAGGAGCAGAACAAGGAGGCAGTGCTGGGCCTTGCTCTTCACAATCCTGGCTGCAACGTTTGAGCATGCGCGTGCTAGTGTATCAAGGGCCCCACCACATGCAAACAGAGGCGCGGCGCCTGTGACACAGCGATAGCACATGTAACACGTAAACTAACCCATGCATGTGAACTAAGACCATCCTCGGGACCATGGCCAAACCAGGGACCAGGCAAGTCAGCCAGCGCCGGGGCCAGGTGAGCGAGCCAGCCAGCCCCGGGGTGCGTTCTCTGCACTGGCACCTCAGAAAACACACGTGGAGACTTGCCACACTCTGAGGGAGGTGGGTCTTTCTGCCAGTGAGTCCCATGTTATGACACAGTACCTTGGGCCTGCTCTCTGCTCTGGGCCCTCCCTCCTTATTCTGACAAACTGGGGAAGCACAGTTGCCTACCTGAGTAAGAGTCAGGAAAAGACAGGTAGCAGATGCTGGTTTTCTGTAACAGACAGGAAAACACAATGAAACCGCAGGATGCTGTTGTCCGAAGTGCCCTGCCAAGGGTACAGGAGACCTACCTCCTTCTCTGTCAGACTGGAGTCATAAGGGTACACCAGCTGCAGAAAGAAACAAACAGAACACACTATCAGAAGGTGAGTGGGCTGCCATAGTCTCTAGAGGGAGGATCTTCATGAGAAGGGATGAGTTTATGGGCTCCTCTCTGAGACGGGGGTGGACACCCAGCAACGCTCAGTCTTCTCAATAACCCAAGGAAGCCCTGGCTTCTCTATTCCCTCCCTTCCCCATCCCCTAAATTACAGCAGAATTAGCCTGAGATCCTCACGGGGAACAAAGCTGCCACTCTGGCATCTAAGGCCACCCTGGTGCTGTTTTTCTCCTTATGTCTAGGGACAATCAATTCTCAGAGTGATGAGCCCAGTTACAAGTCAGTGTGCTCTCTGGGTTAGGATACAGGTGAGGGGAATCATCCTAACGTCTGAGAGGAAGAAACTGAGGCACAGAAAGTGGGATAATAAATAATACCCAAAGCCACAAGGCAGTCAGTACCAGCTAAAGAAAAAATACCCAATTCTGGATTCTGATGCCAGGGCTGCAGGAAGGCCTTCTTTGACAATTAGTTTTTAATGAGATAGGCAAAGCAAAAAGAAAAGGAATGTTTCCCAGCAATGATTGGCTACAGGTGCTTAAAGTGAACACAGGCTACTGAGACCCCAGCTTGAGGGAATGAGGATTTTGCTAACTTAACAAATCAGCTTTCATTAAACCACCTGGAATTATTTCAGAGGCTGTCACAAAGTGAAAATGGTGATCTTGCTTCCAAAATAAAGAAAGGAAGAATGAGGAGATTTCTTGACCCAAGCCCCTCCTGCCTCTGGACTCTGCCCTGCCTCTGCAGCATGACTTGGGGGAGGCTTCCACATAGCCACATGGCCCCTGGCGGCTGGGAAGAGCAATGGTTGGCAGTCACTGAAGTGCCCACACGAGGACTGGGCAGAACAATGTGAAATGAGGACCAAAGAGAATGAGAGAGGTCCATGTGCCACGTTGTGAAGATGGCCCCAAGACAGCAGCTGGGGGGACAGCAATGACGATGAGATGTCTTTCTTTAGCTAGGACCTCTGTCTTTCCAGGGCAAGGATGTCAGAAGCCTCCAAGACAGGATGAAGGAGTTGATCAGAAGAGAAGACTTGGGTGCCTCCCCTGCGAAGGTTTGTCTGGTTTTGAGTCTGGGGTTGAGGAAAGGAGTCAGGTAAAAAACAAGCACTGATAAAACACTGACATCCCCTCTCCCCCCACATTTTTTTGGTGTAAAGAAAATTTACTCTTAATTTTTTTTTTTACTGGTGAGGCAATCGGGGTTAAGTGACTTGCCCAAGGCCACACAGCTAGTACATGTCAAGTGTTTGGTCTGAGGCCAGATTTGAACTCGGGTCCTCCTGACTTCAGGGCCGGTGCTCTATCCACTGCACCACCTAGCTGCCCCTTACTCTTAATTTTTTTTATGGTAAAATGGTGATGCATGCAAAACATTTTTCAAACCTCAGACTGTCATATAAATGTGATCTGTTATTGTCATGATTATAAATAAGGCCTCTTTTATAATGGTGTTTGGTGCAAGGGTACTCAATTTATCCAAGGTGGTAAATACCATCGAATGTATCTTAAAATTTCCATTTTAGAATTACATCTCGATGTAAGAATCTAGACACATCCGAAAATGTTTAGTATGTTAAATATACATCAAAGAAGTATCAAATTATGCTCCACACCAGTGGTGTCAAACTCAAACAGAAACAGATCCCTGCGCTGACTTAGAAAACCAAATTAACATTTATTTACATTCTTACATTTTTATTTATATTGTTGAACATTTCCCAATTGCATTTTAATCTGGTTCCATGATATTGACAGGATCTCTAATTTTGTTTTGTTTTTATTTTTAAATAAATTTTTATTGATGTTTTCTGTTTCTTACATGATCAGTTATTCTCAGTATCCCTCCCTTTACCCTCCCAAAGCACCATCTCATATAACAAATAGTATTTTTTAAAGACGAGAAAAAAAGGAAAAAAAATTGGAGCCACAGAAGAATACATTGAAAAAGTCCAAAACCATGCGCTGTGTGTGACCCCTGTGAGCCTTCCCTCTCCACCGAGGGGGGCGTTGGGGGGGTATTCTCAGGTCTCTTCATTCTAGGTCTGTTCCTGCTGGATTGTTATACTGTTGTTACATTACACAGTACCAGCAATACTGTATGAAGATAAACTGTGAATGACTTAGCAATTCTCAGTAAAATAGAGATCCAAGACAATTCTGAAGGACTTGTGATGAAAAATGCTATCCACCTCCAGAGGAAGAACTGATAGAGTCTGAATGCAGATTGAAGCAGACTTTTTTATTTTATTATTTTTGGTTTTTTTGGTCTACGTTTTCTTTTGCACCATGACTAATAAGGGAATGCTTTGCCATGACTACATATATACATATAATCAAAGTGCTTGCCTCCTCAAGGAGGGAGGAGAGGAGGGAAGGAAGGAGAGAATATGGAACTAAAAGTTTTTAAAAAAGAAACGTTAAAGATTTTGGTTTATATATAATTGAGAAAAAAACCAATTTCTGTTAGATTTACTTTGACTTTTAGTATGCCATTTTCCACACTTCCATCACTGTAGTCATTATGGAGATTTTTTTTTTTGGTTCCACCGACTTCACTGTGTATCGGTTCACATATCTCTTTCCAGGCTTCTCTGTATTCCTCGTTCACATTTTTTTTTTAACAGAACAGTAATATTCCATTATAGTCATATACCATAATTTACGGAGTCATTCCCTAATGAATAGGCATCTCCTTTGTTTCCGATTCTTTCCCCTCACAAAAAGTGCTACTATAAATACTTTAATGTATCTGGGAATTTGTTCTTATCGATGGCTTCCTTGGGGGCATATACATCTCGTAATGGTGTCTCTGGTTCAAAAGGTATGGGCATTTTAGTGACTTTATTTGCACGATTCCAAAGTGCTTTCCAAAACAGCTGTACCACTTGACAGCTCCACCAACAATATCTACTGGTGCGCCTATCTTGCCATAACCTCCCCCATGTTGGATGTTGCCATCTTTTTTTTTTTTTTGACAATTTGCAGGGTGTGAAGTAAAAACACAGGGCAGTTTTGATTTGCATTTCTTTTAGTATTAGTGATTTGAGGCATTCTTTAATGTGGTTCTAAGTACTCTGCAGTTCTTTCTGTGAGAACTGTTTCTTCAAATCCTTTGACCACTTATCTACTGGGGAATGACTATTAGCTTTGTATACATTTACTGTTTATATATTTTGGATAACAAGCCCTTATTAGAAAAATGTGATAAAAAGCTTTTCCCCCCATTTACCTGCTTCCTTTCTTATCGTAGATACATTTATTTTGTGCAGAAGCTTAATCAAAATTTTTTATTTTATCTTTTGCAATTAACCCTATCCCTTTTTTGGTTAAAAACAGATTTTATACTTCTATCTGTGAGAGGCATATGATTTTTTTCTCTTCTAATTTTTATGATATTATCTTTAATATTAAGGTCGCATATCCACTTAGAATATATTGTAGCATGTGGTGTAAGGTGTTGGTCTAAACCTCATTTTTGCCAGACTGCTTTCCATTTTTCTCAGCAGTTTTTTTTTTAAATCAAAAAAGGAGTTTTTTCCTAGGTAATTTATGTTTTCAGGTTCTATAAAGTATCCCATGGTAATCTGATTGGTATAGTATTGAAAGTACAAATTAATTTTGGTAGTACTATCATTTTTATTATATTGGCATGGCCCAGCCATGAGCACTGAATATTCCTCCAGCCCTTTAAGCTGTTTTTTATTTCTTTAAGGAGCATTTTGTAGTTGAATCTATGTCCTTTTTGTGCCTTGGCTGTGATGCTCCTCTTAAAATAAGACTCACAAAATTACAAGTGAGTCATGCTATCATATCCTGCCTCTTCACACTGGAGACGTAGCACACAGAGGGCTAGACTCGGAGTCAAGAAGACCCAGGGTCTTTAAGGACAGGACAGAAATGGGTGTGTCTGTAGGCAGCAGTGTAGAAGGATAGAAGAGAACAGCAAAAACAAGAACAGGTGCTATCGGCTGGAGGTGACAAGGTACGTGGAGAGGCGTAATTAGGGCCGCCACTTCATCTGAGACAGGAGGTAAAGGAGGACCCCTACACGTGCGATAAGGGGGAGAAGTGGGAGCTCTACGCAAACGGCTTCAATCTTGGGAGTGAGTTTGGGACGAGGTGCTCAGCCAAGATGGTGGGTGGCCGTGGGAGCCGCTGCTACAAAGAGCAACTAGACGAGGGAGGATCAGAATGTTGGCACTGTTGCTGTGAGTGCCCAGCATAGATGAGACAACATCCATCTGCAGAGAACCGAAATCGGCTCTGTTCAATGATTCCTCCGGTACTGTTCAGCAGGATGCAATGAGGAGTTTGGGGCAGAGAGCACAAGCAATACATGAGTGGGCTTTGGTGACAGGACAAAGGGGGCAAGAGGTTAGAGTAGAGGCCAGTGTTTACTTCAGCTAGTTCACCAAGGGATCAAGACGAGGAAAGGAGTGCACTGAGAGATGATGGATATATTGCCTGGACGTGAAAAGAGGACTGGAGAGGATGGAGGCCTCATGCTGAGGGAAAGATGGGATGATAAAAGATTATGATCAGATTATGGGATTTTGGAGTTTATGAACCCCAAAACTAGGGTGTGCCAAAATCAAGGATGTGACCATCTGTGGTCATAGGAACTGAGCAGACTGAGGGCCTGGGAAGTAAGGAAAATTGAGGGAGCATCAATATTAATGAATTTTTATGTTTAAGAGCCAGGTGGAGTAACAGTGCACAGAGTTCTGCCTGGAGTCAAGAAGACCCAAGTTCAAGATGAATAATCAGGGCTCATTTACGAGCTGGGTGGCCCTTGACAACCTCTGTCTACCTCTGTTTCTTTAACTGTAAAATGGGAATAATATGGATCCAAAAAAAATTGCTAGGAAAATTGGAAAGCAGTCTGGCAGAAATTAGGTTGAGACCACCACCTCACACCACATACTGAGATTAGCTTGAAATGGACACATAACTTAGAGGAGCAAGAAAGACATTTCCTCTTGAATCTTGATAAGGGAAGACTTTATAACCAAACATGGGATAGAGAAGATCAAAGAACATAAAATGTACAATATCGGTTACTTAAAATGAAAAAAATTCTGTACAAATTAAACCACTGTGACTAAAATTAGAGGGGAAGTACTGGGAAATTGAGAGAATTTTGGGAAATTAATTGGGAAAAATTCTGCAAGTTTCTCTGATAAAGGTCTCATTTCTTTCTTTTTCTTTCTTTTTTTTTTTTTTTTTAAAGGCAATTGGGGTTAAGTGACTTGCCCAGGGTCACACAACTAATAAGTGTCAAGTGTTTGGTCTGAGGCCAGATTTGAACTCGGGACCTCCTGACTTCAGGGCTGGTGCTCTATCCACTGTGCCACCTAGCTGCCCCTAAAGGTTTCATTTCTAAGACATAGAAGGAATTGATTCAAATTTATCTAAATGGTTAAAAGCTACAATTAGGTAGTTTTCTTTCTCTTATTTTTTCTAAAGCACTGGCTTTGGAGTTAAAGGACCTGCACATGAATCCTTGCTCGTCATTTACTACTTTTGTAAGTTTGAGTAATTCACCTAAGTTCGAGGCCTCAGTATCCTCATCTGCAAACTGAAAGTATTAGAAAAGATGATCTCCAAGGTCCCTTAAATCTCTAACATCTTATGTTCTAATGCCCCTTCTCGGTCTAGAACAGGTAGTTTTCAAAGGAAGAAATCCAGGTTATTAACAGCCATATAAAAAGAAATGTTCCAAATTGTGAATAATTAGACAAATAAAAAAACCTGAAGCAACTTTAAGGTTCTACTTACCATACTGGCAAAAATGACATATTTGGGGGGCTACGGAAAACAGTGCACTAGTATATTCTTGGGGCAGCTAGATAGCTCAGTGGATAAAGTGCTGGGCCTCGAGTCAGGAAAACCTAAGTTCAAATCTGGCCTCTGACACTT